TATCTTTTGAAAAATAAAGACAATCACATAATTATTGAAAGCTTTGTTTCATCAGTTTTCAAGATTTGTGGCTTTAGCAATATAAAAATAGTCTAGATGCTTGATGCAGGAAGCAATAAAGAACATTCTAAATCTAAAAGTAGTTTAGCTTAATTGTCGAAGACCAAAAGCATCGCTTTTATGTTGTCGAAATTGACAAAAGCTATAAACAATCGTATATTCATAAAGCGCTGTTCAATACCTCTAGGTTATTCGTGGACAGTATTGCTGAAGGGGCAGACTATACCAAAATTAGTAAGATATTTCATATCTCTCTCCTTTTTTTCCTAATTGGAATCGATACTGTATATCATAACAAGTTGATTTTTTTTGGTTTAAGTACGGGGGAAAAACTAACGTCTTGCTATAATAATTTAAACCATTTGGAAGTAAGCGACGCCACCGCAATTTTTCCCGAATATTTAATTATATCAATACCAAAGTTTAACGACTGTATTGAAAAAGAACTCAATGAGTGGCTTTTTTTATTAAAAAAAGACCGTGTTCCACCAAATTGCACTTTAAATTGTGTAAAAATCATTGAGGAGAAGTTGAGCATCCTAAAAATACAAGAACAGGAACAAAATAAGTATTTGTCCTATAAAACTAAAATTATTGATAAAAAAGAGATTTTAAAATCTGCTACATTAAAAGGTAAAGAGGAAGGTAAAGAGGATGGTAAAGAGGAAGGTAAAAAGGAAGGTATTTTAACAGTTGCAACAAACTTATTGAAAGCTGGGTCAAACATTGACTTTATTTCAAGCATGACTGGTTTACCGAGAAGTCAAATTGAAAATTTGAATTAATAATATCGCTCAACTTGTTATTATGGTGTTCCAAGAAACAACATTTTTTAAAAATAAATTCTACCATCCTCATGTCCAATTCTATATGATAAAAAAATATTGGTTTTAAAAAGTTTTTGTATTAAAAATGTTTTAAGAGGTCCCTTATGACCCTTGAACATACAAATATCTTGTATTATTTAAAACAAAGGTTTTTTTAAATATTATAATTTTGAGTTTCAAAAAATGTGATAGGTTAAAAAAATTGAAAAAATAATAGTTGTATTGAAAAAAGCAGGGTCCCAGTCGGCACATCTGGTATTGTAAATGCCCAGAGAATTGATCGCGTATTACATACCATAATTGATACCCAAAAAATACGCATTTAATTTACAATTTTAAACTCGAGTTTGTTACGAAAAATAAATTAAAAACACGTATATACATAGATATACTCTATATTTTAAAACGTTTTTAAAACCGTATAATGAAAAATTACAATTTGCGTGTAAAGCGCATGCGTTCATTGAAATCGCTAAAGAAAAAATTGATAAGTAGTATGATAAAGATAAAGATATAAAGTATATAATGATATAAAGTTTAAAATCTAAAATTAAAATCTAGTATATCTGTATTAAGTTCTGAAATGAAAAGAAATCGTAAAGTATACATGAAAAGTTACATGAAGAGATATCGTTCAGCTAAAGAATCCACATTATGTGAGAATGTATATATTCCCAGTACAACTGTTTGCACTGAAATGTCGTCAAACTCATTAGTTGATACATCTGAAGATATATTGCTACCGGAAAACAAAAGTCGCAATGATTTAGAAGAATTAAGTCTCTGTAATAGTGGATATGTATCAGAGGACAAAAATGATTGTCAATATGATGTATCAAGTATGGATGATTTTTCTAGTGATTTTGAATTCAGTGATAACAATTCTGAACCAAAACCAGTGTATTTAATTTGTGAAGAACTTGCAAAAGTTGCTGTAAAGCACAATTTAACAAGAGATGCTATAAACGATATTCTACAAATTCTAAGAGAGTCTGGGAAATTTGAAAAATCTGACATACCAAAAGATGCCAGAACATTAACTAGAACGCCACGTTCTATTGATGTATTAAGCAAGTGTAATGGCAGTTACATTTACCTAGGTTTGAAGAAAGGAATAGAGGATATATTTGCTAACAAATCAATTGAAGTGGACATTAATTTTATAACTGTTGATGTAAACATTGATGGAATCCCTATTCAGCGCTCCAGCAATTTGCAGTTGTGGCCAATTCTTTGTTCAGTTATCAATATAAAATCTTGTCCATTTCCAGTGGCTATATATAGTGGAAATGCAAAGCCATCAAATGTACATGATTTTTTTTATGATTTTGTTGCAGAAGTTAATAATCTAATAATTAATGGGTTAAAAGTTAATGAAAAGCAATATAAATTTAATTTGCGTTGTTTTATTTGTGATGCTCCAGCACGTGCATTTGTTAAATGTTGCTATGGTCACACATCAAAAAATGGGTGTGAAAAGTGCACTTCTGTGGCAGAGTATTACGATAAAAGAATTGTTTATACAAACGATAACGCAAACTCGAGAACTGATGTCGAATTTAGGTTGAATGATTATCCATTACATAAGAAAGGGAACAGCCCATGCTTGCTTATAAATAACTTAAATATGATACATTTTTTTGTCATAGAACCTATGCATAATTTATTTCTAGGGGTGTGTCGTCGGTTTCTATTTTTTTTGAAGTTCAAATCAAAAATTCATATTAGCTTTGCTCAGCAACAACTGATTTCAAATCGAATGTTAGAAATAGCCCAGTCCACTCCTTCCGATTTTGCTAGACGTCCAAGAGGTCTTTCTGACCTAGAACGCTGGAAGGCAACAGAATTTCGTCAATTTACTTTATATACAGGAATTATTGTTTTAGAGAAAATTTTGGACAAGGAAGTTTATAGTTTGTTTGTTTCATTTGCTGTAGCTGTAAGGATTTTACATATAGAGAACAATAATGACAGAAATGAATTATTACCATTTGCTAAGCAACTTTTTGCCACTTTTATTCATAATTCACGTAAGATTTGTGGTAAATCTTTTGTAACTTTTAACGTTCATAATTTGCTTCATATTGTTGATGATGTCAAATATTATAATTGCTCCATAAATGATATATATGCATTTAAATTTGAAAACTACTTGCAGTATTTAAAAAGAACAGCAAGAAATGAAAAATGTAATCCACTTGTATCAATAGCTAAACGATTTAAAGAGCGCTCTATTCTTTCCAACCCTTCAGGATATTTTATTAAAAGTGCTATTGGTAAAATTTCAAATTTTAAAAGGAATAAATATTTTTTAAGCAAAAATGGAATGTATTGTGAAGTAATGGAAAAACTACTTGAAGAAGGAGAACAAAAATATTTATGTAAAGTTATAAGCAAGCATCATTTGCAACCTCTTTTTGTGACCCCATTAAACAGTGCTGCATGGGGAATTATGAAATATTCAAAATTTAATAAAGCAAAATGGAAGTTGATAGTGCTAAAAAGAAGTGATTTTTTACATAAACTTTACGTCATGAATAACGCTCTTGGAGAATTGGCATTCTTTCCTATGTTACATGAAGTCAATTAAATTTCATGATATGTTATTATAAATAGCTGTAAATGATATATATTTAATTTTATTTACTTATTTGTTGATTATTTATGTTTTATTTTTTTTAAATATATCTTTATTTTCAATTCATTTCTTTTTAATTCCATTAAAGAAATTAAAAGTTATGTATATTAAAAAAATAATAGTTATAAAGAAAATTGTTTTATAAATGTTTTTTCAAATTTTTTATCTTGGTTTGTCCTTTTTTTTTACCTTGAAGTAACTATTCTAGATTGCTCTTGAAATCATTTGTGAAATTTCTTATTAATATCAAGAATTAGATTCTTATAAACATTTTAAATTATAATTGATATTTTGCAATATTAATGATCTAAATTTATTTGTTATTTAGAATTTGGAATTTGGATATAAAGTTTGGCATAAATTTGATTGTATTTATTGTTCTTTAGTTTCTCTAGTTTAATAAATTCCATAGATATAATGCAATTGTAATTAACTATTTTAAACAATCCGTGCATATATGTAACTATTAATAAAGATAAATGGGATAACAAATAAATTAAATAATGAGATAAATAGATACTTATCAATTAATAATAATTTAAAACTAAAATGATGTATATGTTTAAAAATAATATTTTCTTATAGAAAACAAAAAATACTCATTTAAAATTTTATTTTATGTTTAAATTTTTAATGCATAATTTAATAATAATTATGTCTGACTTTTTTAATTTTTGTCAATTTTCCCAGACTAATGGCTCATAGTAAATGCATGTTAATTAAATTGAGCCAGTCCTGAATTTTTTTTGTTTTTGTTTTAATACTTTTGCTATAGCAACAGAAAGTCAATATGTCTGACTTCCTTATTTTTGATTGGTATAAAAAGGGCATTTTATTCTATTTTTAATCTATTAGTAAAGACATCTGAAAATTTGTAAGTTTTTTTAAATTTATTGGATAATATATTTTTTAAACTCAGAACAATTTATATCCTATAATTCTTTTATTTGTTAATGTTTCTTTACATCTTTTATACTTATTTAATTAAATTAATGTTATTATTGATAAAAATGGAATTACTCAAATGAATTTATCAAATTTTTTTATAATTATCAAGCGAAGAAGAATGTTTCAGGCTGCATTGAGAAATCATAAATCAATTACTGTCCAGGTATCTGTAATTCCTAATTTATCATTTTTCAAAATGCTGGCATTATCAATCAATATATGGACATTTATCACTATTTGTTTCTTAGAAATTGTACTGTTTAGCTGTGTGGATTGAGAAGGAAACAGAAATAGAAGATGTTATTTCTTTTTGTTGGGTGGATGAAGCCAGTGAAGTTGTTAGATATCCATCAAAACTTGTTGATCCACTAAGGGTGATGATTGCAGAGTGTACACAGCCAAATCCTTCATGGTACTCATTTAAGCTTGTTAAAAGCGTATTAGTAGTAAGTTGTTTGTATATTTATTTCATGATTTTAATAAACTGATTGTATGTTAACATTTTATTTTTGTTTCTTTAATTTGTTGAAGGCTTAAAAAATGTTATTAGGTTTCATAAATCTGTTCTAGGTTGTTTTGATGAACTTGTCCAGCTTATGAAAGCTGGTATTTCAACTGAAGATGATTTGCCTCAAGATAATTCAGAAATCACAGGTTCTAAAAAAAAAAATCTTGCCCGACATTTTTTGTTGTTTATAATTAATGTTAAAAGAATTGTCTATTAAAAACCTTATTTATTTAAAACAAATATTGTATTAAATCTTACATTACATATTAAGGTCAGTATCAGGTAGGCATAAAATGTATCTGTTAGTATTTTTAAGCTTTATGATTATATTATATTCATATATATATTAAAGGTTGTGATACTTTGATCAATAGTTTTTGATAAAACTATTAAAACTTGAAATTAATTGTAATAATTAATTTAAAAGTGTAAAGAAAAAATAATATTATATGAAGTTAGTAACATTCTCTGTGTTTAACATTGTGAAATGCTAAACACATTAAATTACAATATTATTTTTTCTTTAAGTTATTATAAATTTATTATATATATAAAATTACTATAAATTTATTATATTTATCCAAATTTCAACATGAAAAGTAAACTGTTTAAATATGGTTAAAATTTTTATATATATTTTCATATATTTCAAGTATATAATTTTCCATGTTTCACTGATCAATCTCAGAGAGATATTGCAAAACACTTCTTTGTTGATTTCTGTCAAATTATTATTTTCCAATATACTGTGTTTTAGCATTTCAGGGTATTACTGACTATATTTTATCATGTTATTTTTTATATAGGTGATTTGTCTGATGTTAATGCAAAAATTCCGCTGATTTGTGGCATGGAGCAACAAAATGAAGGTTTTTTTTTTTTTTTTTTTTGTTACTTTTTCTAAAGTATGTCTACATTACTTTTATAAAAATTATTTATGGAACATATATAATACATATTTACAGAACACGAAGAAGATGATGGAAGTCTGCTAGATTATCCGGTTTTTGGTTAGCATTTTATATATTATTATATTCTCAAATGCAGACATTCAAAAAATTTAACTGTTTTTTTATTTTGCAGAACTTAAAAGTGTGCAGAAAAGACCAATTAAAATGTCTTCGAATATTATTAAACCGAGTGTAAAGGCGAAAGACTTATCAGTTGTGGATTTCACTTCTATAACACATATTGCCAGTAAAAAAGTGTACAGCATTACTCAAGGTGGGTGTATATATATTTTAATTATTTTAACATTTGCCACTATGAATTACTCATAAGCAACCTTGTTTTAGATTATATTGGTTGATTGATATTGATTCAAATCACGATTAGGATAAAGTTCACGATAGGAACTTAGATTATATTGATAAACAGGGTGGTGCAAACACGAGTTGAATGGTTGGGAAATAGTTATTAAAAAAATAATATAATTTAATTAAATACTATATTAGGTCTCGTTTGTAAGCGTTCTTCCTGAACGCTTACAAACGAGGCTTAATATTTTTCTAAAAACTGTTTTTATAATTTTGTTAAGTAAATAAAGAACTATTCATAAACTAAAGCAATTTAATTTTAAGTGTTTGTTTATGGTGTTAAAAAGTGATTATTAAAAAAATTAAAATTGCGTCCAAATAAACTTTAGTTTGGTTCTAAAAACGTTCAAAATAAATAAACAGGGAGAGCTTTTGTTTTTTACAATCTAAATAAATAGTCTGAGCAAGACTAACCTCAGACTAATTATATTATAGTTGTTTTGATTTTAAGTTTTATTTATTTTAGATCTTTTGGTAAAAACTAAAACTTCAAGAAGGAGTTATCAAAAAGATGACAGTGCAGACGAAGTGACGATAAAACCTCTTTTTAAAAAAAAACGAAATGAAACGGAAAACGAAATCATTGAAAATGATACGGAAGAAATAGCAACAACTTCTGGCAACCACTCTCAAATTGTTACAAAAACAATCAAAACCAATGCAAAAGTTGGTCGTCCAAAATCAGCAGCAAATGAGTGCTATCCACTCGGAAATGCTCAATTTCAGCATAAACTTTTTATGCATTTAAATGATCACAAAGAACGTTTAAAAAACATTGAAAAAAGTCAAAAAAGGATTTTAGAGTTCATATCAAATAAGGACAATGAAGATGGAAATAATGAGATTATCAAAGCTGAAACAATTGACCAGCTTAAAGAAATTAATTCAAAATTAATTATTGACGCCTTATATAAGAGTAAAATGAAGAAGGTATTAGAAGTCGTTGG